TGATTGTCTCAAGAATAGACTCTCTACAATAAAGTCGCGTAAAATAGCAGTTTTTCAAAAATATACTGACATACGTTCTCACATACATGTCTACCTCACACCCTTGCGGATATTTAAATGAATTAACACCTTCAAAATAAGATTTTGTACAGAACATTGTTTACTGGGTTCGAACATCACGTTAAAAACATAAATAACAAAAGAAAGTTTTTCATATGTATTCCTATACACTGACGTGCCAAAAAAAAAAACAAAAAAAAAACAAGGTGGCGGTATGTAAAGGTAATGGTAGTTGGCGCCACCGTAACTTTACATCATAGGAACAACAACAGTTATACTCTGCCTACTGGTGAGTCGGTGTGAACGCCGGATAGGATGCTTATGGCAAAGTTATATCAATAATCAAAATTCGAAAGGGGCATCTGAGTTCGAACAGCAAGGAATGGAACATTCCGTTTCTGAAATTCTGGTGACATTTGGCCTCTCTCTATCTATGCTGTCACGTGAGTACCAGGAATATTTTTTTTTGTTTTCTTACTCAATTGTTCACCCATTACAAAGCCCAAGTACCACCCAAGGTAGAGGGTTACTGAATGAGGTTATTGGCTAGAAGGAGGAGAAAGAGGCAATGTGCAAGTTAGGAGGATATTCAGGAAAGATAACAGTTCATCCTCGGCTTGAAGATGTTGAAATTCTAGTGATCGGGGAAGTATGTTCCGCAAAACAGCAGCTCTTGGGAATGAGCTATCCAAACAGAACTTCATTATTGCCAGTGGAATGCGTAGAGGAGGTGAATGGTTCCCCGTTCCCTTGTCTGGGGTTATTTAAGTTTACTGCTTCGTAACTCTTTGCGACCAGTCATGAACTCCAATTACTTTAAAAACTAGAAGTTATTGCAATAAATGCATCAAGTTGTCTGAGGAGAATTCTGGAGCTATCTGACTAATCGTTTGGTTACCACATTGATCTGGCATGAGCTCCGCCGAGCAATAGTGGCACGTGGAGTAGAGTTATAATTGCATGATGGACATTTCTATTTCTACACATATGGCACGTCAGTGTAGATAAACACACACACATACACACACATACACACACATACAGACACACACACACATATATATATATTTATCATTGGCGAAGGGTGAATTGAATCAGGGGTATGCAGTCAAATAATATTTCATTACTTACTGTTTGTCTCTCAACAACTTTACAAGCTACTTGTCACTTCAACAGCTGCGTTAGAAAATAAGAATCCCACTCTCGAAAAAGTTGCTTTTTACTGCTTCTTAAGAAAAAAAAATGGTTTAATCTTGTTCACAGTTCATCAATCTACCAGTTTCTGTTTTAACGAGACGCAGACATTTTTATTTTAATTTTAAAATAAAGTTTAAGTTTCATATCGCTAGACGACAGGGGTCAGAAAATGGTGTTGATTGATGACTGGAAAAGTGAAAATTCGTAATTTTGACGTAAACTTTACCCCCCCAAAAAAAAATCTTTTTCACAACTTCTGCGAGAGGGATCTCATCTTACGCAGTTGTTGAAGTAGCAAGTATCTTGTAGTAATAGTAATTCACGAAACATTACAGTAGGCCGTATATAACAAAATATTAGCGACTATATTACCTGGATCCAAGTCACACTTCGCCACTGATATATATATATATATATATATATATATATATATATATATATATATATATACCAAGTATATAATTGGTATATACGGAATGAATTCCAATAACCAACAATTACTATTCTTAAAAGAGTGCTCAATACAAAGTAGAGCAGATATAATTATTATTTATAAAAAAATTACAACATAAGTATGTTATAAAATCACTACAAAAATAGCCATTTTGTTTCAACACCCGCAGTGTCTTATCAAGTGATGATGTTGAAAATAAAATAAATGGTTTTAAAAGTTTCAGATTAATTAACGATCCTACACTAGGGGGAAACATTGTTACAAAAGCTAGAATAACCAATCAAAAACCAAGTATAGAAAGATTCAAAAGCTTGACAATGAAATCATGTTATAATAGCTATTCAGATCTTTAAAATACGGGTAATATTAATGTGTGTACGTGTATCTGTGCATGTGTGTACGTATATCTATCGGTGTCTATGTATATTTAGAGTGTATTCACATTTAATTGTGTGTGTGTATAGGTGTTGGTTTCCCCCGTTTCCATTTTTCATAAGGGGTTGTATTGATGTTCCTGTCTCGTCGGCTTTTCTTTTCTTTCCCTTTTTTTGTGTGTGTTTGTATATATGTGTATATATATATATATATATATATATCTAAATATGTCTGGGTGCTTATGTATTATAATCTGATTGTGTTTTTGTTGTTTTGCGCGTGAGTTTAAGACCGCATTCACACACTTTAGAATAAAAAATATATATACATGTATTGTCAAATGACCGGATATATTGTAGCGTCTTGTCGAACGTAATTTCAACGAAGAAATAAATTGAATAAATATATATATTTTTTCTTTTCTCAATAATTTTGTAGTTTTTAAATTTAATAGTGATTAAATTTGGATTTTAAAATTGCCAGTTTTTAATTTTAATATTAAATTTTATCATCTAATTTTATAATTATTGGTTAGTATAAATTATTTTTAATATTACAAGATCTGAATAGCTATTATAACATGATTTCGTTGTCAAGCTTTTGAATCTTTCTATACTTGGTTTTTGATTGGTTATTCTAGCTTTTGTAACAATGTTTCCCCCTAGTGTAGGATCGTTAATTAATCTGAAACTTTTAAAACCATTTATTTTATCTTCACTATAAGATAAGATAAGACACCGAGTGTGTTGAAACAAAATGGCTATTTTTGTAGTGATTTTATAACATACTTATGTTATAATTTTTTTTATAAATAATAATTATATATATATATATATATATATATATATATATATATAGATAGATAGATAGATAGATAGATAAATATTTCCCTAATGGTTAAAGGTATACATATTCTGTCGAGAGGCAAAATTTTTCTTTCCTATTATTTTTCGATATAGGCCAGGTGTTGTTAATTTCACTTGTTAATAATAATAATAATAATAATAATAATAATAATAAAATAAAAATTGGGTAGCATCTTAAAGAAAAAAATACGTTTATAGTAATAAAATTAATGTCGCATTAAAAATTTCACTTGCAAAAATGACTGGTTGCTGTTTTTACGTTTCGCATACAAAAAGGAAGCTCGCAGATATAGAACCATGGAAGTCCCAAAGGGAGATGCGCTTTTTAAAGATTGATTCCTTTGACCAAATTGTTATCGACAGGCTTCACAATAGAAGTTGTTTCTTCGTCGGAAAAGGGGATGCATATTCGATTCCTGTTGGGAAGTGCAAATTTTTCTTTAGTAAAAGGCCGATTGTTATTAATTTCAGTGTTAAAGCAAAAAAAAAAAAAAACCCCCTAAATACCTCCCCAATAGATGCATACTCAGTAAAAATGTCTCTAGTAGTAAGAAATATCTTCGACATTTGAAAACTTCGATTTTAAAAGGTTTCGCCGTCAGCAGAAAAATAATCGAAACTAGTGGGGCATAATGATTTTAACGTAAAAAATCCTGTTTTAATAAGAAATAAATATAATATATAAAATAAATAAATATAATTATTCACTCAGACGAAGACTGGAAAGTAAACGAAACTACGAATAAACTACGAGTCTCCTACGATTAATATACGACTGAGATATTTCAGTTTATCTTATTACGTCAGATGTTCTCAATTGTGCCGCGAAATATTATCACGGTATACCTATGTATCTATGTGAGTGTGAGTGCCGAATAGTACAGCGTTAGTATTTGTTGTGGTACCAATCCACCTAATTTACGACGAGGATGAGATCATTGACCATATAAATATGGGTTCGATAAGTACCAGGGGAATAATAATAATCCAATAACAATGGCGACTCTGAATGTAAGTAAAAATGTATTCTGCAAGGAAAAAATGTACGTAAAATTTACAAAACTAACAAGGAAAAGGTATTGTATATTTTTCCAGTTGGAAGATATTCTGTTCCGCAGAATGGGTTGACTAAATCGCAGTCGGCAGAGTCCATCGATTGGATCTCTTCTTACTCCCCGTCTTCCCGGTACGAACCCATATTTATATGGTCGGTACTCCACTTATGTAAATTAGGTGGATCGTACCACAACAGTATTTGAATAAGTATTAAGCTTTTTATCCCACATTTTATATATATATATATATATATATATATATATATATATCCCACAACACTAATAAATGAAGGTTTTGAACTTGCAGAAAAAACACCTCTAGATCAACTCTAAAAAAAGATAAAAAAACAAACGTAATGTCGAACAAACGCTAGCATATGTTTCAACATACAACAAGAAAAATCCAGAACCAATTTTCGGGAATTACAAGAAATCTCGACCTACGTAACGAGAATGACAAAATGAAAAATATACTAAAAACAACCAAAATAATTAAAAGCAAACATCAATCTAAAAACCTGAAACATATATTAACCTCATCCAAATTTAACCAACACAATATACAGGGGGGTCACAAAATGCAACAAAAAAGATATGGAGTTTGTGATGCCGTTATAGAAGGGAACTCCTACACATGCGAAAACCCCACAACTACATTCACAATAAATAAAAATTTAAACTGCAACTCCAAAAATGTGACCTATGCACTCAAATGCACAAAATGTATGAAGTCATATATAGACATCAGCCAATCACTTAACCACAGAGTTGCCCTTCACAAAAGCGACATCAAATTACGCGACAACAGAAAATTCTTTGTACCGCAACACACCTACGAATGCAATCAAGGCAAATTTAGAATTATGCTAATATACCAGACAACTACTTTTTCTTACAAATTCAAGAAAAAAAAGCAAAACTTTATAGACAAATTTAAACCAACATTAAAGAGTATATAATCCCATACGCATGGACACACGGCATGCACACATG